GGGGCAAAGAGAGGGAGAGAGAGAATCCCAAGCAGGCTTCATGCTGTCAGTACAGAGCCTGATGCAGGGCTCGATCTCACAAATCTGTGAGATCATGACCTGAGCCAAAATCAAGAGTTGGACACTTACCCAACTGAGCCACCCAGGTGCCCCTGACCCTCGGTCAATGTTTTCTAAACTGACAATTGGAACGAGAGTTCTGACATGGAAAGGTAATATGTTGCAATGGGATTGATCCAAAAGTCAGGGATGTGTGCCCCTTAGAATGCACTGGACTGAAGACCAAAGCCCAATCATTCTAAGACCAGTCCTGCCCCTGCCCCCACCCTTCAGGCCCCACAACTCTGCTACCCTCAGCTCCTGTCACTGGAGCTCTTCTCTGCAGGCTACATCCGTCCCAGTGCAGGTCTGTCCCATTCATACTGTCACTGGGCCCTGCCTTCAAATTGACCCTCCCTGCCAGGTCCTCTCCACTCAGCCTCCCTCTTTCCCTCCTGTTAATTCATCAACACAAGAACACTGAGACCTTGACTCTCCATGGAGCCCAGTGGATATGGAATGGGGATAGGAAGTTGGATGTGTTCAAAGCTAAGCTCCAGAGAACAGTAAGTAAGAATGGACTGATACATTTGAATATCGTACACTTGAAACTAATGTAACACTGTATGTTAAAATTATATTGGAATTAAAATTAAAAATGAAAAAAAGAATGAACTGATGCATTTGAGACACCTCATCTGGAAAATGAATATTAAGTAATATAATGGATATGGCAGTGCTTTGTAAAGTGTTAAGTGCTATATAAACATAAGGGACTCATATTTTTTTAAAGTTTTTTTAATTTATCTTGAGAGAGAGAGATAGAGAGTGAGCAGGGGAGGGGAAGAGAGAGGGAGACACAGAATCTGAAGCAGGCTCCAGGCTCCACGCTATCAGCACAGAGCCTGACGTGGGGCTCGAACTCACAAACAGTGAGATCATTTCCTGAGTTGAAACCAAGAAGGGACTCATATTTTTATGAGGATGATGATCATTTAAAACTAAGACACGTAAACCAACGATTTTACAAATGAACTTTTAAATTACAGAAGTGCTACTTCATTTTAGAGGATTTATAAAGTATGTAAAAAAAAAAAAGGAAGAGAAATTCTCAGAGTCTTATTAGAGAGTGTAGTATCTTGTATTATTTATACAGTATATTCCCTTTCTATCCTTATGGGACTGTTTCTGTGGGAGGATTATTTTTTCCTTGACAACAGATTTTGCCATGTGACTTACTCTGGCTGGTTAGGTGTGAGTGGAAATGGCATGTGCAACTTCTGAGCTAAAACTTAAGAGCCTTTCGGTAGCTCTGCTGTCTTTTTTCTCCTTCTGTCATAACACTGGCATATATCTCAGTCAAGGGCTTTTCAGTCATCTTGGAATGAAGACCCCTGTAGGACATATAATGTGAGTGAGAGATAATCATTTATTCTTGTCAGCATCTGAGATTTGGGGGTTGTTTGTTACTGTAGCAAAAATTATCCTAAGATACCTGATATCCTGAGATATCATACCTGTTAATATTTTGGTGTACACACTTCAGCCTTTATTTTTATGCCTGTGTCCCATATTTTCAATAAAAAGTGGATTATAACATACCTATGGTTTTGTGGAGTGCTTTTCTCATTTCAGCTGCAAATGTTTTAGTATATATTTCTAAAAGACAAGGATTCTTCTTTAAACATAATCACAATACCATTACCACACTTAAAATGAATAATAATCTGAATTAAGGATCCAAATAAAGTCCATACTTTGCACTAGCTTGATGTGTCTCTTACATCTCTGTGCGTTTTCAGGTTCCTCCTCTCCGTCTCTCTCTCTCAGCCTTGTGATGTATTTGTTGAAGAAATTGAACTGGCTGTTATGTAAAGTTTCTCACAGTCTGGATTTTGCTGATGGTATATTCCCATGGCATCATTTAACATGTTCCTCTTTCTGCTGTATTTCCTGTAAATTGCTGATTAAATCTAGAAGCTTGATCAGGTTCAGTGAACAGATTTTTAAACTCAGTACATTATGAACATTTTCTATGTCATTTAATTTTCTTGTACATACTTTATTAATGACTACGGGGCTGTTGAAAACAAGAATGTACTATCATTTCTTTAGCTATAGTCCCCTATTGTCAGTCATTGGGATTGTTCTAATTTTTTGTTGCTACACACAACTCCCTGATAAACCTCCTTGGGGACTAATGGTTTTCTGGCCTGATTTGCCTCCCTTCTGTTCTCTTAGTTCCTGCGGATGGTGGATGCCTGTGCTAGCTTCCTAACAGAAGCCTTGAATCCAGAAAACTGTGTTGGAATACTGAGGCTGGCAGATACACACTCCTTGGACAGCCTGAAAAAGCAGGTGCAAAATTACATCATCCAAAACTTTGTGCAGATTCTGAACTCTGAGGAGTTCCTAGAACTTCCCGTGGACACTCTGTACCACATCTTGAAGAGTGATGAGCTGTATGTAACAGAGGAGGCTCAGGTGTTTGAGACTGTGATGAGTTGGGTCCGGCACAAACAGGCAGAACGACTCTGCTTGCTCCCCTACCTCCTTGAGAATGTGCGCTTGCCACTGCTGGACCCGTGGTACTTTGTGGAGACGGTGGAGGCAGATCCTCTCATCAGACAGTGCCCGGAGGTCTTCCCGCTGCTTCAGGAAGCCAGGATGTACCACCTTTCAGGCAATGAGGTGAGCTGACGATGAGCAACACTAGCTAACCAGTGAGGTAAAGGAGTCTGCGGGCCTCACAGAAATATAGGTGAGGCTGGCTTACAGAACCTTACTTCATGGTGAAGACAATTGCCACACCGTCTACGGTTTGAGTCAGGCAGTTCCAGATGCCCTGGATTTCTGATCTGTGAAATGGGGATGATACCACATCATAAACAGCTACTGAGAGGATTGAGTGAGATAGGAAATTGCTCAGCACCGTGCCCAGCACATCCTTCCTCTTCCCAGGGCTTAAGAGTAGAGGTTGGTGGGGGTGACGTACACAGGACAGAATGCGCCCTGTTCAGTCACCATTCCACAGGAGCACAGCTTTCCTAGTTTGCCCGCTCTGGGAACTGCGAGTCTCTTGGATATCCTGTGAATGTTACCTTGGTTCAGACTGTCGTTGTTTCCTTTCCGAATTTCCAAAAATTCCTCAAAACTCACCTTCCTGCCCTCAGTCTGGCCTCCCTCCAATTCATTCACCAGCTGGATAATCTAAAACTCAAGCCTCATCATTGTGTTCTTGGGCTTACCCTCTTCGTGGCTCCCCGTGACTCCCAGGATCAAGCCCACACACTTCCTGCCTGAGCTCCTGTTGCAGGGAGTATGGCCGGAGTCGCAAAAGAGGAGTCCGAAAACAAAATGCAGTTAAGTGAAGTTCCCCATACTCGAGTCGGAATGAGGCCCCGACTCCAGAATGAAGCTTCTTTTTATTAGGATAATTGCTAAAGACTACGTGCATAAAGTCAGCTAAGTAAGTGTGTTAATCAGGTTAATGGTTTAGCTTTTTTCAAGGTTGAATTTTGAGTTAATTGGTTTCTATACCACTAGGAAGGGTCAGGTGTGAAGGACGATCTGGCCCTGGACAAATGGCTCTAGGTGTTCCTTAGGAGCCGCAGTCGCATTCAGCTGTGTAAACGTGTCCTAAGCCCTTGCACCTTCTCCAGCCCTTCCCTTTTGAAGTCTCCTCCTTTGAGCCTTCCCTCCTGCATCTCCCACATCTCCCAGAGCCTGGCCCTACACTCTTCACCTCCTGCCCACTTCTCTGGCTCCATCTCCAACCTCTCCCTTCTGCTACACGCTAATGCTCTGCTTGCAATTCCCCAAAGTGGACGTGCCTTTTCACCCTCTGTTGCAGGAGAATGAGGTGCTGTTCAAATGCCTTTTCCTCTCTCCATCTAATTAACTTTACTCTGGCTTCAAAAAGTTAAAGCATCACCTTCTTCAGAGACCTCTCTCTTCTCATAGTCCCTGGTGCATTGCTCTATCGTAGCACCAACCACTGCGTGGTAACCATTGTGTTCCTCATCTGTAAATGTCTCTATACTGGGAGCTTGTAATGGTAGGAAATATATCTTATGGGACTTTTCATCTCCAGACCTTAGGAGAATCCCTGGTGTAGAGTAAGTGATTGGTAAATGTTTGTTGAATGAAGAAATGAGTACCAAGATGATGAATACATGTATCATTTGGATGTTCCTGGTTCTGCTTAACAAATTTCTGAAGAAATGTTTTATTCAAATCTTTATAAAGACAAAAATAGGCTTAATGGAGAGGAACAAAACTATCCGGAAATAATACTATAGGGATAGTGTATTTAAAGCTTATACACATGAACACACACACATACACACACACACACACACACACACACATATA